TTTAGGTTTTTTCTGACTTCACATTGGCAGCCATGACTGAGCCAGTTCTAGCTGGTTTGTTCCTTGGTTTGAACTTAGAATATTCCTTAGGGAGGAGAGGTGTCTCCTCAGCATTGTTTGCTTCCCCTCTAAGCCATAGTCTTGTGAGCATCACTAACAAGGCAGCCACAGAACTACAGAAGAAAACCATACAGTTCTTGAATCAGTGGTTATAGAACGCATTGGCGCCCTTGGACATTTTGGCACTACTTTGAACATAATCATGGCCATACTAGTATTTGCTTCTCTTCTCAGAGAATAGCTGTTCTGTAAAGAAGCATGTGTGTAAAAAGTAAATTGTGTAATTCTTTTGAAAATTGGCTCATTACTAATCCTTGGGTTTAATGTTCAAGAAGAATGGAAATTCTTTTGTTACCACCAATAGTATCTCAGACCACAGTCTGGGACTGGTATGTATCAGGAGCTCCCCTTTGCAGACACAGACATTAAACTAACCTCTGGGAACAAAGTTCTTGGTGCTTTTGTCATAGCATCCACAATGAGTCCTGGCTCTGAAGATTAAGCTTCTCTCCCCAAGTGTTTATTATCTTAGAGAAACTTATAGAATGAAGAAGCTAGAAAGTAATTATCTATTGGCTCCAGTAACTCTTTTGGTTTATTATTTATCAATGAGAATTAGATCGCTAGATATGGAGACCTCAGAGAATGTTTCTGTGAATGACATCTGGTTTGGAGTGCTCAGATTGGTAATTTTCAAAGGCTTAATATTTTTTTTATCCCTCTTCTCTCCTCTTGTTTCCCCTCCTCCCTAATTTCCTTTGCTCTTATCCCACAGATTATTTCAGAATAAGTTTCTTATACTGTATTGACTTGCACTTATCTGTGATATTAACCACCAATATCAAATGACATCTAGGTCACCCATACTGGATAGGTTTCGCTATAGATTGTAGACTAAGAAGAAAGGCCTGGTGATCTGCTTCTGAGAAATGGTCAATGAAAACACTATAGATCACAACAGACATTGTCTGCCTGGCTTTTGACTCATCTTCAGGACGGACCAGTCACTAAAGGGAGTCATCATGAGATCTTCTGTCGTTGGTAGATGCTGTTGGTTCCCACCTATGGCGGCCCCATGCACAGCAGAGCTGCACCATCCACAGTTATTCTTATCCTGAGCCCATGGTTGCAGCCACAGTGTCAATTCCTCTCCTTGAAGGCTTTCCTCTTGTTCACTGCTCCTCCACTTTACCACGCCTGCTGTCCTACTCCAGGGACTGCTCTCCTCTCCTGAAAATAAAGACAGTATGTCCAAAGTATGTAAGAAGTCTTGCCACACTTGCTTCTAAGGGACACTTTGGCCATACTTCTTTCAAGACAGATTGGTTTGACCTTTTAGCAGTCCGTGGTACTTTAAATATTCTTCTCCAGCATCCCAATTCAAATGCATTGATTGTATCTCAGTTGACTAATGTCCAACTTTCACATGCATATGAGGCAGTGGAAAATACCACTGTGACTTGGGTCGGGCACACCTTAGTCCTTAAAGTAGCATTCTTGCTTATCGATAATCTAAAAAAGGTCTTGTGCAGCAGATTTACTTCCATGAGGATTGTGTATCCAAGGAAGAATAAATCCTTTTCTTCAACCTTTTCTCCGTTTATCACTATGCTACCTATTGGTCCATTTGTTAGGATTTTGGTCTTCTTTACATTGAATCGTAATCCATACTGAAGGCTACAATCCTTGATCTTCATTAGCAAGTGTTTCAAGTCCTCCTCATGTTGAGCAAGCAAAGTTGTATCATCTGCATATTGCAGGTTAATAAATCTTCCTCTAATCCTAATGCCACATTCTTATTCATATAAGCCAGCTTCTCAGCATACATGTATGGTGAGAGCATACAACCTGATGCACACCTTTCTTGACTTTAAATTATGCAGTATTCGCTTGTTCTGTTCGTACAACTGCCTCTTGATACATGTATAAATTCCTCATGAGATAATGAGTTAGTCTGGGTTGACTAGAGAAACAAATCCAGAGACATTCATATGTATATAAGAAAGAGTTTTACATACAAGAGCAATTGAATATTGAGAAAACATCCCAGCCCAGTCCAGATCAAGTCCATAAGTCCGATAATAGCCCACAGGTCAGATACCAATCTATAAATTCCTCTTCACACTCACGAAACACATAATATGACATCGAATGCAGGAAGATCACCCGCCAATGGGTGGAAAATGTGGATGCAATGGCAGTGTAAGCATCTCAGCGCTGGCATGGGTCTCTGAGTGGCTCCTTAACTCCAGGGCTCTGATGCATCAGTGTAGCTCCATCAGGCTCATTATCAGTAACGTTTCACAGGAAGTGAGTGAGTGAGATAGTTAATATTTATTGTGCCACTTTGGCTGACAAATGCATGTGGGATTAATTGGAGGGCAGAGAGATAAATGGCTCAGTGAACCTTGCCTTTCTGGTTCTTGGGTCACTTGCTCTGTTTCTGATGGTCAGAGCAGAATGTGGCTGCCCTAGCCGGTTCCCTGCTTCAGCTGGCAAGGCTCACTTCCTGCGAGACATCCCTGAGGAGAAGCCACATAGACCTACCCTGATGCAGCAATGTGGAGAACACTGCCAGCACTGAGATGCTTACACTGCCACTGGATTATAAAACTTTCTACCCACTGGCCTGTGATCCTCCTCAGTCTAACACACCACCTGTTTTTTGCCTTCTTGCTGTTCTTGTGTCCATCAGCCCCTGTGGCGATGCCAGTCAGGAGAGCCTGCCAGACTAACATCTGACCCACACTTGGAACTTGTCCAGCCTTGGACTTGCCCACTTCTACAACTGTGTCACTTTCTAGATCTAATTTTCTTTCTCTATACGTACACACACACACACACACACACACACACGCACATACGGGTTTTGCTTCTCTGAGAACCCAGCCTAACACAGGAGCCTTTAAAAAGCAAAAGGATCATCATATCAGTTTAACTGAACTACTAGTCTACACATTTTAAGAAAAAAAGCCCTGTTGGTGTTGTAGCTTATGAGCTGAACTGCTAACCCAACAGAAGACAATAGTTTGAGACCCTTGGCTAGTCTGGGGGAGAAGATGAGATTTTCTGCTCCCATACAGATTTATAGCCTTGGAAACCAACCGGGGCAGTTCTATTCTGTCCTGTAGGTTTGCTATGAGTGGGAATCAACCAACTGACAGTGAGTTTTCTCTTCTTTTAAAAAAAATAAATTATAAAGCTGGATAAAGATGAATTTATTCACATCTGGCAGGCCTTTCAAACTTTGTGCTGTCAAGATGGTTCCAACTTATTCAGGGCCCATAAACTCCCCATAGGGTGGCCTAGGCTACACTCTTCACTAGAACTAAGGGAGTCTTTTTTATTTTCCTCACAGGGATCACTGGTGGGTTCTAACCTCCGGCCTTATGATTATCGGCCCAGCATATAACTATTGAGCCTGCAGAGCTCCTTCATCAAACTCTTTGCATCAAAAGCCATAGGTTATTTATTTTTGCCAACTGTGCCTCAATATTTCCTTCTTCAAGAGCAGAAATATTTCCACCCATAAATTTCCCCAAATTTTAAGATTCTCTGTCTCAAATGCTATTATTGATCTGCCCCTCCTTTTCATCTCCACTGACCATGGCCCCATTAAGACCTTAAAAATATACAGAACACTAAAGCCACTGCTGTTAGTGGATTGCCTAATTACCCCATGGCATAGACCACTGCAATAGTCTCCTAATAGATTGCTCTTAATCCAATTTCTTATTAGAAAAAAAAAATCTAACCTCCACATTTCTCTCCTGGCTACATTTCCAAACACTGATATGATTATTATTTAGTCAAACAAAAATAAATTCAGAATACAATACAAATTCCTTATTTTGGCATTCAAAGCTCTACACACGCCAGCCATGGTTTCCTAGGTGATTAGCTCATTGACGTTAGGAGAGAACCTGTTTGAAAATCTCTAATGTTGTTGTTTGGTGCCGTGGAGTCCACTCTAACTCACTGCTACCCTATAGACAACAGAACAAAGCACAGCCCTATCCCGCGGCAGCCTCATAGTTGTTCTTGTTTGAGCCATTGTTGCAGCCAACAATGAATGTATCAATCCATCTTGTCAGGATTATCTATTTTTTGCCACTTCTCTACTAAGCATGATGTCCTTATGCAAGGACTGGTCTCTCCTAGAAGCATGTTCAGTTTCTGCTTCTGTTTTACTGAACAGAATCATTAGCATTGCCTTATACTCAGTGACTGCTCAGCTACAAGAGTTTGACCACAGGTACTTTAAAACAAACAAACAAAAAACACCTCACTGCCATTAGCTCAATTCCGGCTTACCGTGACCCTATAGGACAGGGTAGAATGGTTCTGGTGGACTTCCAAACCTGCAATGTTTAAAGGAGTAGAAAGCCTCATCTTTCCCCAGCCGGAGGGGTTGGAGGTTTCGAACTGCACACCTCTAGGTCAGCAGTGTTACTACTGTTAAAGACTTCCAGGAAGGTACCTTGAAGTTCTATAAACTTTTGGCAGGCTAGTTACCAGAGACAAGCCAGACTCAGGTTGTCTTCGGGCTAACGTCTGGGAAGGGAATCTTTATTCATTTTCAGTCTTTCCGCTGCTAGATTTGACCTGACGCCCGAATTGTTATTGAGCTACTGGAAAACACGACTCACCCCTAATTCCACCACTACCCTCCCCACACCCCAACAGACCCCCACGGCTTGGATTTTACCACCACTGCCGTAAACAACCGGCTTAATATAAATCTGGACAAGAGCCAATGCTTCCGCCGCGTCCAAGCGCTCAAAGCCCGGAGTCACAAACAGCGCGCGACCGCCGAGGGGCGTCCGCTCAAATCTCGCGGGAGACGCCGCCCAGCGCCGCCCTCTCCCAACCTCACGCGAGACCCACGGCTTCGGCCGCGAGCTTCCGGAGGCCGCGGCGCTGTTTCCCGGGCAACCGCAATGGCGGCGCCTCTGCGGGAGCGGCTGTTCTCGCTGGAGCTGCTAGTGGACTGGGTGCGCCTAGAAGCCGGGGTGCTGCCGTCGTCGGTGGCGGAGGAGAAGGAGGCCTCGCTGCCGCTGCCGCCGCCGCCGGGCTTCCGCCCTGCGGTGGCCTTCCGCCTGCTGGACTTCCCCACGTTGCTGGTTTACCCACCCGGCGCCAGCGACCCACAACCCCGACCCGGCGTGGTAACTTTCGGTCGCGGCAAGTCCTGTCTCTTCAGACTGCACCCTCCCACCTTGCACCGCTTGCTCCGTGAGACCCCGCTTTACGTGCTGCTTCTGCAGCTGGCACCCGGGCGCCCGACGCCCACCCCGCGACTCCTGGGAAGCTGTGGCGTCTCGCTTGCGGATGCTGCCCAAAAGGTCTTGGGGCCAGTACAGTCAGCCTGCACGTGGGGCCATCGAGAATGCTACCCGTTGTGCAACCAGGTGGGGAAGCGGATTGGGGACATCGCGTTGGGCTACCGCCTGACTGACCTGGGGAAATCTTTGCTGGGACGTCTTGAGGGACAGGTCACCTGCAGGAGAAGTGAACTGGAGTTAGTAGAGGGACAAGAAGCCGGCGAGGTTAATTCCCTGCCGGAAAAACAACGGCTAAGGCAGCCAACCTCAGGACCAATCTCAGAAGATGATGCACACCTGGTGGATTTAAAAATCACAACCACACAGGAATTAAAGGAAATAGATATTCACGGTGGTGCCAGCTCTGATAACACGGATTCTGGGGAGAAGGGCAAAACTAGTAGTAGTAGATGTAATAGTCCAAATCAGGAAGAGTTGGACATTGAAGCCAACACATTTTGCCCCCCACCTCTATACTACACCCATTTGATTGAAAAAAAGATGCCTTCTGCACAAGGTAAAATCACATTTGTACCGCAAGTTAATGTGCCTGAGGAACTAGATGCTATTTTTCAAGAAGAAAATCATGTAAATCCCCAAACACATACCAATTTTCCAAAGTATGTGAATACTATAACGAAGGAAAGTCTCTCTCTGCTTACAAATCCTTCAGAAAATATTCAGAATGTAGGAAAAAAGAATCAAACTCCTTGTCACTCTCAAACTGAACAAAATAGAATTACTACTATACGAGAGCTGCCTTTGTTAAATGCTTTGTTGGTCGAGTTGTCCTTGTTATACGCCCAGCCCATGGCAAGCCCTACTCATATACATCCCCATCTAGCCTGGTTGTATAGAACTGAGGAAAAGAATGAACCAGACTCTCTTGCCAAAGCCACATGTAAATCTGAACCCAAGAAGGAAAGACTCTCAGTAGGGGAAAAGAAAAAGTCAGTAAGTCTTCAAAATAGAAAGAATCAAGTTGAAAATCTCAGGGAAAGTATACATTATGAAAAGCCCAGTAGTATCCAACAAAACCGAGTTCCAAGGGGACGGCTGCTCTATGGCATAACAAATACACTAAAGCTACGTTTAAAGCAAACAAATCCTGACATGTTGCTAGTACATGAAAAAAGAGAACAGGAGAGAAAAATGCAAGCACAAATTTTGGGTGCAAAACTCAGAATCCCATCATCCAAAGTTAAAGTATTAAGCTTTGTAGAACAACGTCAGAAGTCACATCAGCTACCAGAAGATCAGTGTTTAGTTTCAGATGCAACTTTTGCTGAAAATAGTCATACTTCAAGGCAAGTTAGTAGGGTTTTGGATGAGCCTAGAACAACTAAAACTAAACTATGTACAATGGGGAAAAAGACAATTTATTGTACGAAAAACAGAACCAATAGTGGTTCATTGGAAGAAAAAAGTGCTGTAAAATCCATTGTTTCAGAACAGTTTAATCTTAAAAATATTTTTGAAGACAAAGTGGAAACAGAAGTCCAAAGTTCATGTGATGTTCAACAAAATGCAATCGAGAGAATTGTAGACAAAGAAATAGGTAGTAGGCAGGTCAAAACCACAAATAATGCCATTACTGATGTAAGTGAAAATAAACTAAGTAAAAGTAGTTCTTCTGAAAGCATTTCAGAACTCGAATATTCAGATGATTTTACTAGCCCGTGTTATTCTGAAGCTTCCTGTGCCCCTGAGGACACCGGCAGAAGCATACAGGCTCATGAGAGTCCAGACCACTGTCAATCTCTTAGCAAGTCTAGTGACGCAAGCTCGTCCATAAGGAAACATAGCAGTGAAAAAAGTTCTATTTTTAGCCCACCTTTTTCAACTGGATTACCCATACACTCATATAAAAGATCTAATATTTCAAAGCCTAAGGATAAAGGTTCTGATGAAGCATCTTATAGCTCTACCAGTGATTTATCTTCATCACATTGGACTGAGGAAAAAGAAACACAGAGAGACCATAATAGCATGCCTAATTCAAAACTGATAAAGAGTGTTCAAGACAGCTCTAGGAAACTTAAAACAAAAGCTGGTTGCAAGTCTTTAGAAAAAAGTCAGTCACCAAGGACGTCTCAAGTGAGTTCTTACCTGCCATCTAATTTGTCGGAATTAGAATTTAAGGCCTTGGATGTCAGTTCGTCAGATCAATTTGAAGAAGACAGCGATGAAGTTGGTTCACTAAATATTTCCAAACAATGCAAAGATATTTCTGAATTAGTAATAAATAAACTTCCAGGATATACAGTGTAAAAATAACATGCTTTTAAAAATCATGGATATTTTAACGATATATGTAGTATGTGTACTGCTAATGAAAAAAGTAACTTTTTACATGATTTTAATACATAAAATATGTAAATTCTTTTTTAAAAATATGTTTATTCTTTAATGTTTACATAGTATACTAATAAATTTGACATGCTAATCATATGATCAGTATATAACCTAATTAAGAATTATTTTTAAATTGTTTCATAAGAATAATGTATCTCTCACTAAAGTATAGATCATGCAGTATCTATCTTCCTAAAGCAGATTTCTATGACCAAAGTAATACCTACTGTCATCTAATCAATTCCAACTCATAGTGGAACTATATACCGTATATACTCGACTATAAGCCGACCTGAATATCAGCGGAGGCACCTAATTTTATCACAAAAACTGCACTAAAACATGTGCTGAAACGTTCGGCTTATACACGAGTATACACGGTACACTGAAAAAGGATGCCTAGCTAATAAGGGTAGTTAAAAATTATGAAAATCATATAGTAAATGCAATAGACTTACTGTGTGAAGTGCAAAAAGGTAACAAAAGTACTTAAAACAGCACTGCTGTTCTGAGTTTATAGTTTTATATAGGTAGTCTTTAAAGGCTTTGAATCAGTCTCTATAAAACTTGCATGTAGCTCAAGTTTCCAATTGGTGACATTATCTGTTACTTTCCAAAATAGAACTGTACCTCTTAACACAATATGGAATGCTTGCTTGATTAGTGTTTGCCTTCTGCTTGGATTAGGTTCTGCGATGGAAGGACTAATCTGTTGAGCACAATAGTACATTCTTGGTGCTTAGCACAGTCAGTTTCTGGCATGTGGGTGAGGTGCATTAACAATGGTTGTTGAGCAAATGAATGAAGGCCAGGCACTTCAAATACTAAATGGGAAGGAAAAGAGTTAAGCAATAGAAATAAGCAAAACTCCTAAAATTAAACTGACAGAAAAACTTTTTTGTAATATGTTTAACTATAATATTGTCTTCCTGAACATAAACAGCCTTCAGCTGTCCTGTGAAGTACTTGGAGAGAGGGATTTTAAAAGATGTTTTCCTGTACATTTTTCTTGTATAATTAATTTTATTGTTTTTTGTTTTAACTAATTTACTGCTACCATAGTGATGCTGACTTACTGCTCCAGGGGTTTCTGAGACTAACTCTTTATTTATAGGAGTAGAAAACCCATCTTCCCCCCTCGGAGTGCCTGGTGATTTCAAACTGCTGACCTCGGGGTTGGCAGCCCAATGTGTAACCACTATGAGATTGTACAATAGTTTGTTTTTTAATGCATGGAAATTTGTTTGTAAGAAGCCTAATTATACTTTTAAATTCATCCATTGCTTTTTTTTTTAAGTGAAGCCAAGATTTAATAAACAACGTATGCTTCAATCATGAAGTGGGCCACCTGACAATTTGTGTAAAATGACACTGTCTAGGGAATACGCCATTGGATTTTATAGAGATAAGACAGCTGGACCTCATTGGCTCACCTTAGTCCCTGTCTTGTTTCCCACTGGTTCTTATCCTTGCATCTTGATTGGTCCTTATTCCAGTGCAATGACTGATTTAGTAAGGCACAGCTGTGCACTGTGAGTACTCAGTATCATGTGAGGCAATGTTGGGATGAGTCATCAGGATCTCAGGTGGAACAGATCATGAGAGGCAGTTTAAGATAGGTCACCCAGACCTCTAGTTGACCTTGACTCTCTAAAGAGCACAGGACTCTGAATTCATTCGGGATATTGCTCAGTGATTGACTGATATGGCTTACTTACAGCTGCCATGGGACTCAGCACCTCTATTTTTTTTCCCCCAGAGGCCACAATCTGGAGTGGGATAGGACTATACCTATTCACCACTAACATTTTTACGTAGAACTGGTGCAATCTGGAAGAGACAAACTTGAGCAACAGGTTAAAGATACATGGGCTGAACAACAGACAGTAGATAGCTTATTATTGGCACAAGAAAGAGAAGTAGCCAGATTCTCGAACAGATGTACTATTGGGATACAGTTTAGGTCCCAGAAATGGAAGCAAAACTCTTCTTGCCATGTAGGTCTTTTTCTGACACGTATAAGAAAAGAGTTTTTCTAGGATCCTTAAGACGGGGACCTTAATTATGGCTTGTTTGTGTGTGTTCAAAGCCTTTTCAGATCTTGTCTCATTGTAGCCCTTCTAATTCTTTGCTTTTAAGAGCCTTATAAAGGTTTTGCGATGCTCCCAAAAGTATTGGATCCAAATCCTGCAATAACCTGCTATTCCCAAAGCAACCTGGTGGGTTCAGGAATGAAGGTTGCTTGCACCCCAGTCTCAGTTTTTAAAAGTCTCCGTAAAAGTGGGAGCGGAAGAATAAAGGACAGATGTAAGGCAAGGAAAGGTGAAACATCCCTTTAATGGGGACTCATCATACCCAGTACTTGGAGATAGACGGTGGTTAAGAGACCACCAAATGATTTTAATACCATATAAGTAGGCCTAGCAGCTAGCAGAACGCGATGGACTTACAGGCAACATCTACACATAACCCAAGGTTTCTTGAGTTTGATGTCAATGGAGAGAGGTTGGGAGCCTGGGTTTTGTCATTGCTATGATTCAGTTAGGACATTTATGGGCCACATATCCTGGTGTCCTGCACTGGAAGCAAGTGCTAGGAGGCTTCTTTCCTGATCCCATGTCAACCTCCCGTGTGATAGTTGCACAGAACATGGCTTCCCACAGTTTATAGCAAATAACTTGGGGCTGCAATCATATGAACTGCAGCGGTCACTCCACTTAGGATCTGGGCCCTCCATTGGCCACAATAGCAGCCCTAAGGCTTTGGCATTTTTGGTCTTCTTGCTTCCCTTTCTCCAAGTCTCAGTTGTACCCCGAGAAGGCGATTGGAAGGAGCTCGTTTGAGCAACTTTAGTCTCAATGTTCTGTGCTGGAGCTTCCTACAGATTTTGTGAGTTGATTGGTCAATGAAACAAATGTCTAAAATAATATCCCTCTTGGCTGATTCAGGATCTAACTCATGAAGTTTGCAAAGCTTTCTTTTTCTTGAGTGAATTCTGTCAATTTAGAATAATTTATTGGCTTAATCTGAATGCCTTCCTTTCATCTCTTCAATCAGCTTGCCCTTCTTGGTGGTTCTAATATGGATCTTGCCCAAGAATTGCAGTGCCCTCATTTTCCCCACCTACAGAGCTGCTGGTGGTTTTGAACTGCTAACTATGAGCAGCCCACCTTTTAATTCCCAAGTCACTAGGGCTCCTTGCTGGTGTTTTAAAGAGACAAGTACCCACCATTAGATTTCTGCAGCATTCTGGGGTTAATAGCTTTTGCCCCAGACTTAAATAGATTAAAATAAACTTTTTAAAAGTATTTACTTACATAGAGAAAAGCTCTTAAAATGCTCACAATATTCTCACATAAAGAACTTAAAGAGCCTGCTCCTCTTGACCGAGGGCCTCATCCTACTTGGATGATGCAATTTCCTTCTTAACCCACTTCTATATATATATGACTTACGTGGGTAATTTACATGCCAAATGTAAAACCTAGGTTAATTAAAATTCAGAAGGAATGTTAAACAAAAGATCTTAAAATACAATGCTTAAAAGTTTCTGATGTAACATTAAACTTACCAGACCGCCTATCATTGTTTCTCAGTTGTGCCCTTGAGAAATAGTTGGAGTGAGCTATTCACAATCTTTTCTCAAATTTTCTTCTGCTGGCTAAATTTACTTAATCTGATAATTAATATTTACTTGAACTGATCATCATTATAAATTAGTCATCACATAAGGCTTTAGGCTCATTTAACTCCTTTAAAAGGCTATGTGACCTTAATGCTATTTAGTAGAATATGTTATGATTCATGGACCATTTTGTAATGCTTTCATCTAATAGCTTAGAATGCACCATATTCTTCATGTGGATTTGCTTTCCCATAGAGTGTTATATTTTACTAACTAAATGTAACACACATTTTAAATCCAAGACGACATACACTAATTTGAAAAAGCATCAAGTTAAAAAGGTAAATATTAACCTTGTAAGTAAATAGGTAGGTAATCAAATTAATTAAATTTATATTATGTAAAAATTCAAATCACAAGATATTAGTATCTATAATAGCAATCAGATAAAACAATGAGTAGTATTTATGATGCTTGAACAAGCTCCTTGGATTTTTTAATTACCCTATGGGGTGGAATGGCCTTGGATGGTCCTCTAGGCACAATTATTCAGACACCTTGTCTATTCTAGAGGAATGTTAAAAGTCATTAAAAAAATTCCAGGAAGGATGGGGTAAGCAAACAGCTTGCCATTTACTTAAATACAAAGTAGAATGGGAAGTTTAGGTTAAATGACTTCCAAGGAAGTTTTGGCTTGTCAATAATGAGCGGAGAAATGCGCAGTATCTACCTTTTTTTTTTTTTTAAACTGAATCGAATCTACCATTTACCTGGAAGCCTATTTTCAGAATTAATTCAATTTTCATTAGTAACCGACTCCCCCCACCACGTAAGAAACCCAATCCTTTGTTAATACAATTTAGTATTAATACCCCCACCCAATTTAAATTATTTCAGTCAGAAGGATCAAATTTTGGTTGTATCAAATACATTTATCTATCATTAATTAATTCCTTAAACATTGCTCTTATGTGTCTCTTATAATAACCTTTTAAAATAAGGATAAATGAACAAAATAAAAATGATCACATTACTTAGCAACTTGAACGTGGGTAAATCTTTTCTTTAAAAAGACATTTGACTTCCAATTACAGCAATCATTTGTTATCTCAATTTAACATTTGAGATCCTTAAATGTTAAGATCCTTAACAATCACTTATGAGATCCTGATCCTAAAGTTGATATAATACCTGGGGGGATTGTGCTTACACACTGGGCTGCGATCCCCAAGGTCAGCAGCTGGAAACCACAGATCCTCCCCTGGAAAAAGACGGGGTTTTTCTCCTCCCATTAACATTACAGTCCCCAAAACTCACAGGGAAGTTCTACCGTGTCCTCTGGGGTCACGAAAAGTT